TTTTTAAGGAGCAAACTGGGACGTAATATTAAAATATGTATGACAGCACATTTCTTCTCTGTAAATACAGTTCTAACTTTTCATGTGTTGAAATTACTCCAAGTCAGTCTTATGAACTGACTTTATGTACCATGTAATCTGAATTTTCTTGAAATATCTGCATGCTTTTCACATTGAAATGTTTGCATGGCTTTGGTAATTCTGTCCTCATATCAAGAAATCCCTTTTATATGATAAAGACTTTCTGCCTAAATACATTCTGGCTAAACGGTATCTGGACATTCTCTTTTACATATCAAAGTACCACACATTATCCATAGCCAAATTGTCATTCTGCTTTATATTTTGCTCTCAGTTCATTTTGTTATACTTCAATTGAAATATTCAACTGCAATTGCACTACTGGGTATTTACCCCAAAGATATAGATGTAGCGAAAAGAAGGGCCATCTGTACCCCAATGTTTATAGCAGCAATAGCCACGGTCGCCAATCTGTAGAAAGAACCAAGATGCCCTTCAACCGACTAATGGATAAGGAAGAGGTGGTCCATATACACTATGGAGTATTATGCCTCCATCAGAAAGGATGAATACCCAACTTTTGTAGCAACATGGACGGGACTGGAAGAGATTATGCTGAGTGAAATAAGTCAAGCAGAGAGATCAATTATCATATGGTTTCACTTATTTGTGGAGCATAACAAATAACATGGAGGACATGGGTGGGGGTGGGAGGTTGGGGGAACAAGGTGGTGAGTATTAGGGAGGGCACGTATTGCATGGAGCACTGGGTGTGGTGCAAAAACAATGAATACTGTTACGCTGAAAAGAAATTAAAAAAAAAAAGAAATTAGCATAAATACTCCCCCAAAAAAGAAATACTCAACTTCCTATAAAAAATACATTTAAGCTCCTTACCACTGATGATGATCTTTCTTATTCCAATTTCAGTTGAGAAAAAATACTACCAATAAACATTTGGCTTCACTTACAGATCATAAAAGTAATAAAGCACACTACAAAAATTCAAACAGAAGAAAGAGTAAAAAGTGCAAGTTTCCATTCACTCGTATCCTAGCTTTCTCTCTCCTTCCTTGCAAAATTCCAATCTCCCCAACATGAAGGTATATAATTCATTGTGATGCTGATTTACATTTTCTTCTTCTTGCCATTTTTCTTCTCCCACAGAAGAAAGGACCACAGCTATTTCAATTCCTTTGCCTTCAAAATGTTTCTGCGGGTAAAGCAACAGCAAGGTTTGGGATGGGACAGGAAAGGAATGACTGAGTGGTTTCCGTAGGAGGACACTTTAAACCCTGGTGTTTCCAGCCTTAGCATATTTTTCTCAGGCTCAAAAACCGGGCTTTAAGAGACCACATGCATATGGACAACAGGGACCTCAAGATTAGTGAGTACTGGAGCCTGGAGGACCTCCCCTGAACATACTGCTCAGGATAACACAATGGATATCTTACTGGCCCAATGGGGAGGGGACCAGAATTGGACTGAAGGTTATAGCCACGTAAAATTTTAGATCTATCCTCCATGCATGGATCTATTTGTGGAGCTGCATTTATAACCATACTAACTAGTACTAGTAATGCCTTGAATTTAATATATATATAACTTAATATATATAATATTTTATATAATATATATTTAATATAATATAATTTATATAATATATATTATATATTTTATAAATATGTATATATAAAATATCATTTAGCCAGAATGTGTTTAGGCAAAAAGTCTTTATCATATAAAAGGGATTTCTTGATATGAGGACAGAATTACCAAAGCCATGCAAACATTTCAATGCCAAAAGCATGCAGATATTTCAAGAAAAAAATATATAACATATAATATTATATTTAATATAATATGTTATGTATATATGATATATATATAATTTTATTTATTTGACAGAAAGAGACACAGCAAGAGAGTACACAAGCAGTGGGAGAGGGAGGAAGGAAAAGCAGGCTTTCCAATGAGCAGGACCCTGAGATCATGACCTGAGCTGAAGGCACACACTTAACCGACTGAGCCACCCAGGCACCTCTGTTTAACTTATATTAAAGACTTTTACATAGACTATATAGCTTGATCTTCAGGCAATAATCTCAAAGAAGAGTATATTGTGGCAGAGGCTGAGGTTTATGCCAGAGTACATGATTAGTAAGTAACAGCCTAAGTATCAAAAAAAAAAAAAAATCTGGATTTCTTTCCTTAGACTCTATCTGGGATGTATACACTTGACACCGTTCTTTTTGCCAGGTGTATGTGGTACTCCCAGGGTAAATGCAGCCATAAGGGGTTTATGTGTGAGTCATACTGTGTATATTCAAGCTGAGACATTTAGAAGTTCAAGGAGTTGAAGGTCGTTAAAAGCTTGGGATAATTAAAACCCTGCACAGTCTTCTGTAAAGGGATTTTTGGATTTTATCAAATTTTATCAGTCTCTTTCTCTCTTCCACCCTCCCTCTTCACATTTAGAGTTGATAACTTTTTTTTTAAAGATTTTATTTATTTATTTGACAGACAGAGATCACAAGTAGGCAGAGAGGCAGGCAGAGAGAGGAGGAAGCAGGCTCCCCAATAAACAGAGAGCCCGATGCGGAGCTCGATCCCAGGACCCTGGGATCATGACCTGAGCCGAAAGCAGAGGCTTTAACCCACTGAGCCACCCAGGTGCCCCTAGAATTGATAACTTTGAATACAAGAAGAGTAAAGGGACTTTCTGCTTATGACCAAGATGGATATATACAAGGACCAGATTTATTCTTCAACCTGAAACAGCTCAACAGCTAAACCACGTGTAGGCTTCCGGATCCCGGACACTGGCAGCACAGGATGGTTCTTACGAAGCACAGATGAGGTGAGGTCTACAGATGCTCAGCTTACTGTGCGAAGGGAGCTTCTGGGCTGCAGTGTGAGGAGGGAGACCCCGAGGGAGCCAGGAGAGCCCGGAGCTTAGAGTTCACAGAGCAGAGTGTGAGAGAGCCACAGATCTACAGAGGTTCAGCCCAACTCCAGCACTAACCATCAGAGAGAGGTGTGGGAGGGGAGGGCAACCCACTGGGAACAGAGGAAACAACCACCGGGGCTCATGTGGTTCGTAGAACACACATGTCCCATGTGTGTTCTACGAACCACACTGTGAAACCTCACAGTCCAGCAAGTGTCAGCTTGAGTACTCACAATGCACTGCTTGAAGAGTGGGGCAAAGTCGGTCCTGGAAAAACAGGGCTCTGGAACCTCCTAAGAAAGCTTGAAGCCTGAAAGGATGAAACTGTTTCTAAGTACTTTCCAGGTAATTTAATTGCACTCAGTGACAAAGCTCCTATTTATAGAAATGCAAATAGCCCACTGCTTAATGAGGTAGAACTTACAATGCTTGGGATCTAATAAAAAAATCACGAGGCCTAGGAAGGAGGCAAGAAAATATCATCCTTAGTGGAAAGAGAGATCAATCAATAGAAACAAACTAACAAATGACCGAGGTGACAGACTCAATAAAGAATAGAACCATTGCTATTTATATCCCATATATTCTAGAAGGAGAATAAAGATATTAAATATAAAATGCAACAAATTAAACAGAACTTCTCTCTCTCTCTTTTTTTTTTTTAATCACAGATGGACAGTACCTTGGATAAAAAGTAAAGTAGGTAGGATTAATGATAAATTAAACATTGCAGAAGATCAATGAACTTGATACACAGTGGTAGAAACTATCCAAAATGAAATGCAGAGTGGAAGACCAAAAAAAAAAAAAAAAAAAGGAAAAGGGGGGAAAAAAAGGAATAAGTACCAATAAGCCTGAAGTCCCCTAAAAAAGAGAAGAGGAAGAGGCAAAAAAATTTTAGAAAATGCAGTGGCCAAAATGTCTCTAAATTTAATGAAAACTATAAATCCACAGATTTCAAAAGCAGAAACTCAACAAACACTTGGCACAAAAAAAAAAAAAAAAGGAGAAAACAACACCAAAGCACACCATAACCAAATTGCTTAAAACTAAAGACAGAAAAAATTGTAAATACAGTCATAGAAAAAAAAAACAGAAAAAATGCAAACTAGAAGATGATAATGTAAGATCTTTACAGTAATAAAAGGAAAAAATACCCTGTGAACCTAGAATTCTACATATCGTTAAAAAATGAAGGCAAAATAAGACTTTTTCAGACATACAAAAGTTGAAAGAATTTAATAGCTGCAGACCTGCATTATCATAAATGTTAAAGTATTTCAGGCAGAAGGAAAATGATATCATATGGAAATCTGGCACTTAAGGAATGAAGAGCGCTGGAAAAAGCAGATATAAAATAATTTTAAAATATTAAGCTTTAAAGGATAATTTAGTGTCACTTCCAGCCATTGATGTAACGTAGGAAATGAATCTATTCTTTCATCTGAAAGAACAACAACAAAAAAGGCAAAATACTGAAAACAAAGTTTTTCAAAGTACTGGACATCGGACAGGAAAGGACAGTGGTCTCTGATGGAAGGGGCAGGGAACAAGGTGAGCCCTATGCCCCAGCTTACTGCCTTCAGAGACCTCGCAGGCCACAGAGTGGAGAGAAAACACTTCATGCAGAGCTCAGAGGACCATATTTACTACTCAAAAGGTCTGCAATCGGAAGGGGAGATGAACCTTGAGAGACTGTGGACTCTGAGAAACTAACTGAGGGTTTTGGAGGGGTGGACGTGGGAGGTTGGGTGAGCCTGGTGGTGGGTATAGTGGAGGGCACGTATTGCATGGAGCACTGGGTGTGGTGCATAAACAATGAACTCTGGAACACTGAAAAGAAATAAAAAATAAATAAAATTTTTTTTAAAAGTCTCCAATTATTTACAAATATATCTGAAAAACAATCCACAGATGTTTGTCTAAATTAATATTTGCCATTGATAAGAGGATGCGACTCTCTGTAGTGCTAAGCATTTCAGTGACTAGTAAATAAATCAGTACACGTGATATTCATTAGTATTTTAATTATCATTTATCAAACTGTAATTTGGCAGTAAAAACCACTTTTCATGGAGACATGACATGTAGATGAGCAAATCTTCCCTGACTCATTCACGTTGCCTTTCCACTTCTCCCGGAAGCTTTGTAAGAATCCATGACTTCAGGTTTTCGAGCTCGGCTCTGCTTAGCTCATGGTAAACACCCGGGAAACTGTGAAACTTCGTGCTCACTCCTAGGGACCTTAACATCGAGTTTGTCTCCTCACCCCAAGAATGAAGAACTAACTCGTCTGCGGCACCGTGGCACTGAAATAATTCAGGGGGCACACCGTCGCCGTCCCGAAGAGCCTGGGAACGGGACACAGAAACGGAAATGTTTAAGAAATTCCCTGGGGCGCCTGGGTGGCTCAGTGGGTTAAGCCTCTGCATTCAACTCAGGTCATGCATGATCCCAGGGTCCTGGGATCGAGCCCCACATCGGGCTCTCTGGGCAGTGGGGAGCCTGCTTCCCCTTCTCTCTCTCTCTGCCTGCTTCTCTGCCTACTTATGATCTCTGTCTGTCAAATAAATAAATAAAAATCTTTAAAAAAAAAAAAAAAGAAATTCCCTAAAGGACATCATTCTGGGAAATCAGACAGGGCAGACAAAGGGCCACTCTACCCAAGCTTTACTGTTCCAAGGGAGAAAAGAGGCGGGCGTGGTGCCGTCTGGGGGATCCAGCTGGTTGCAGGTACCACGGGAGCTACCGTTAGTCCTGTGCAACCAGCAGTGACTCCACAGAGGACTGCCTCAAACATGGCAGAGTGTTTCCTGAAGAAACCGTGTAACTCGAGCAGACACACCTCTTCACGCAGGGTGGAAGGACGGAGGAAGACAGGGACAATTAAGGGAAAAACTACATTGTAGTTTTCATTCCTGTATCCGCCGTTTCTACTGCAGGTATGAAGTTACAGAGCGACGGACTGTATCCCTGTATTAGCCTGTTGCTATGAAACAGGCATCAGGAATGTGAGAGATTCTGTTTTGATTACATTCATGACATAAACAAACCTCGCTACAATCACCCATATTTTTATCATGGTGTAAGGGATACATATATATCATACATACAGATTCTTTTTATTCTTTCACCTTTGACGCTGAGCTTAACAATAGTCTTCCTATGGCATTTCCTGAACATTAATGACCAGCTGGAATTATTATTTAATATGACTATATTAAATAATATAATTGGGGATGGAGTCCCAGCAGTGCTTTGTGCACTGATGGTTACTGCCTAATTAACAATTTCGTCTTAGTTTCAACATGTGAATATTTTATGCTTGTTTGTTTTGTTTTGTTTTTAAAATCTGGAACTTACCTGGTAAACAGCAGATGTTTTATTAAGAAAACTAGAAAGAGCAAATACTCCTGCCACATCTTGATGATTTCTATATGCTAAATGCATTGCCATGCACCCTCCCATAGAAAATCCTCCTAAAGGAAGAAAAAATTCACTTATCAGAAGAAGTTGAATAAATGCGACAATAATTTAAAACAAGATACATCTGGGTCAGGCTTCCATGCATATTGTAAAATATTTGGAGACCTTTACAGAGATACAGTGCTAAAAAGTACAGTCTACTTTCGAGCTCATTAAAAAAATACTTAAAATGAGTAACACTGGTTCATCTAGGTCATCACTGGTAAAGAGACTTGTTGAAAGAGTTGGGGGGCACCTGGGTGGCTCAGTGGGTTAAAGCCTCTGCTTTTGGCTCAGGTCATGATCTCAGGGTCGTGGGATCGAGCCCCGCATCGGGCTCTCTGCTCAGCAGGGAGCCTGCTCCCCACCCCCCACGCCTGCCTCTCTGCCTACTTGTGATCTCTGTCAAATAAATAAAATCTTTTTTTTTTTAAAAAGAGTTGTAATTAAACAAAGAAATCATGCTCATTGACTAAACATATTTATCATAACTCAAAATACGAGTCAGCACAAGTGTTATTTAAACTTCTAATGTCCACTTACGTTTTGCTTATACTTGTATTATAGGAGTCCTCCCACTGCCACCAGAATTAATAACATGCACCTCTCTTACTTGCCAAGCTCCAAGCACCATGAAGAGTGACATTTCTCGTGCCTGCCTTATAAGAGATGTTTAGGGATCTTTTAGGGAAGATAATCAAAAATTTGGTGAGGGGCGCCTGGGTGGCTCAGTGTGTTAAAGCCTCTGCCTTCGGCTTGGGTCATGATTCCAGGGTCTTGGGATCAAGCTACGCCTCGGGCTGTCTGCTCAGCACGGAGCCTGCCTCCCCCCCTCTCTCTGCCAGCCTCTCTACTTATGATCTCTGTCTGTCAAATAAATAAATAAAATCTTAAAAAAATATTCGGTGAGCTAGTTAAAACATCTCTGATTTACAATATTGTTTTGGAAACTGACTTACGATGGTATAATTAAAAGATGTACCTATACAAACTTTTTCAAAAGATTAAAAAAAATAATTCATTTAACAAACTGTTATTGTCTTTCATGTGTCCGAACACTGTGCTAGCCACCGAAGATATGCAGACGAAAATACACAGTCCCGTGCTCCCCTCAGCAGCACACATACTAAATACACAGACCCTTGTCCTCGACGGGGCACCAGGGACATCACAGAATACGGAGCTAAGTATAAGATGTGGGGGCCCAACTTCAGGCTCGAGACCTGGAATGCTACTCCCCTGCTTGAGTGAGAGCTAAAAGGTGTCTTGTTTACATTTTGTGAGAAATAAATATAGTAAGTAAATCACACAGCCACACACTTATGGAAATATAAAAATATATACTGGTGTGGAATCCAGATCTCCTCATTTCCAGCCTCCTGCTTTATTTCACTTAACAAAGTGTAAAGCTGAATGCTTAAAGAAACTATAAATTTAAATTTACTACAATCTCTTTTTACGGATGAAGTGAACCAAGGCCCAAGATTGGGCGACCTGTTTAAGGATGGCGTCCCTAATTCTGGCTGTTAAGCTAGGACTTTTGGAATCCAGATTGTTTATAACAGACCTTAATGTACTCTCCACTATCCTCTAGTATTTATTCAAATAGAACTGCTTTTAAATTTTTTTATATTTTATTTATTTAATAATGTCTAATAATATTATTGGGCAGGGCAATAATATTATTTTGGACGCAGGATACAACGTATGAGTGAAGATTACTGAGGCTTGCGAAGTTTGGATTTTTAAGAAGTACATAATATGTAAATAATGACAATGTACGATGAATATTACATCTCTGGTTTCCAACATACCAGAAAGAAATAACAGGGCCTCAACAGCAGAAGTTCACCATGGATGAGAACCACCTGGAAGGCTCTTTCAAAATAACCCCCCACACCAGCCACAGATGCAGATACGTCTTAGAGATCATGAATGGGCTTGGCAGGGGACGAGCCCCATACACACCTTAAAATTGAGTGTGAAAGTTGCATATATGCATCAGATTCCCAAAAAGGTTAAAAACCACCGGACTGCATTACCTGTGGATGTGTACACTGATCAACAGGACATGCCCCACTTGGATATGCAGAGATTGCTGCAGACAAGATGAGTGTTTTCGGTAAACCCTCATTGCAAGTAAGCAGAGAGAATGTGATTCTTACCGGGTTTTGCTACAGTTCTAGTTATAGACTGCTCTTTTTCTTCTCAAGTTTTTCTATGTGATATAGTACGTGGGTTATAAAGCAAACACTCTGAAATAGAATTCTGACCAAGTTTTAATTTAGCAACTGTAAGTTAGTTCTCTAGATTTTGAAATCCTTGAGGATAAGAACCGTTCTGCCTCCCATGATCACACTGTGTTGCAAGTTTATGAGGAGCTCAGCGAAGTGTCCTCGCCCCCTGTTGCACATGTGCCCAGGAGGTGGCTTCCTCATCTCCTGTGCCCAGTGGTGAGTACACTTCCTGGTACACAGTGGTAACTCAGCAAAAGTCTGTTTAGCTGAGTTCTTAGAAACCATATATTATAGGATGAAAGTAATAAAAAGTTCATGAATGTCTCTTAAATTTATCATATTTAAAGGCACATGAAACTTTTTTTTTTTAAGATTTTATTTATTCATCTGACAGAGATCACAAGTAGGCAGAGAGGCAGGCAGAGAAAGAGAAGAGGAAGCAGGCTCCCTGCTGAGCAGAGAGCCCGATGCGGGGCTCGATCCCGGGATCCTGGGATCATGACCCGAGCCAAAGGCAGAGGCTTTAACCCACTGAGCCACCCAGGCACCCCCACATGAAACATTTTTTAATGTAAAGTCTGGTAGAAAGAGGACCCCAGTGAAATAAAGGGAAACCGAGTTTTAATCCTACGACACTCTAGATGTTGCCTTGGGGTAAATTATTTAAAACCGAGAATCTCATTTCCAGTAAGATTAGATAGTTGGACTAGATGATCTTTAGGGTTTCCACCAAGTTTTTATTTTTCAAAAGTTTTCATTTATTCATTTAAGAGAGAAAGAGAGACAGAGAATGAGAGAGCAAGAGAGAGCAACAGTGAGCACAATTTGGGAGGGGAGGGAGAGGCAGAGGGAGAAGCAGACACCCCACCGAGCAGAGAGCCTGAAGTGGGGCTCAATCCAAGGACCCTGGGATCATGACCTGAGCCGAAGGCAGAGGCTTAACCGACTGAGCCACCTAGGTGCCCCAGGGTTTCCACAAAGTTTTTTAAATCTATTATATACAAATGTTTAATAATCACTTGTAAAAGTCAAACAAAAAGGACTTTCAAAGTTTAGAGTTATTGTAAATACAGAAGTGTACTTTCAGTTTAAGATTAAGAATCTGTATCTCCCAGGATATGACCGCAGACTTCCTTCAAGTTCACAGAACCAATCCTAGCAAATGATTACTTCCTTCATCGCTTCAGATCTCCCCTCTTTTTCCAATTTACTTACAAAATGAATTCCAGGTTGCTTATAACCAAACACACTGTTCACAATAAAACTACAGCTTTAAAATGAGGGGGAAATGTGAGGGAGAGAGAGATGGGTTCCTGGTAGAATGAGAGGTAAAGAACGAAGGAGAGAGAGACACATATAATATGGGAGGGCAGCAGCAATTACGGGTACTTCTGGTCTTCCAACTGCTTCCTTGTAGCAAGACAACATTCTTTAACAGAAGGAATCATGCCAAATCCTACTGGAAACTTCTACTGGCATTGAATTCCTGGGTGGAATTTATCAAGGAGATCTTTATTAAACATCAAACTCAAAATCAGACATTACAATTACAATCAGACAGCTTCTTCTGCTCATGACTTTTATGTAAGTCTGGGACATAAAGCCTTAGCATTCAGTAGTCTATAAGGTTCATGTGAAGAGGGATTTTTGTCTTACTCACTGATGTCCCCTCCCTATGCTTAGAACAAGTGCCTGGCACATAGCAGGCATCTAGTAAGTATCTCATCAAATAAGTGAATAAATATAGGTTGTGGTTCTATAAAATTATATCTATAAGGGGACAAATTTGTATCATCAGGGAATGTGGCTCTTTGGCGATATGACTGGCTATAAAAGTAAAGCTTAGAAAAAAGCAAAAAAGTGTCCCCCAGCCAGATTTCTAAATCTGGCTCCTTAAAATTAAAGATTCCTAGACCCAGCGCCAGACCCTCTAACACAATCTCAAAGTACATGTCTAATTTTTAAAAGCTCTTCTACCTACACATCAAATGTATGAGAATCAGAGTCTTAGAAAAATACCAATGCCTGCAAGGCAGACGATTCAGGATTAGGTATTATGGGGAAGGAAAGAAAGTGAAAATATGGTCTTGATTTAAAAGAAACCGTATGTTATAGATACCAAGGCTGTAGGAACCAAGTTTTTATTTTTTGGAGAAATTCAAGAGCTTGAATTATATTTTTGCCAAATGTACCTAAGGAATATATTAACTATGACCAGTGTGACTAAGGAACTACATGTTTAATTTTATTTAATTTCAGCGAGTTCAAATTTAAGCCTAAATAGTCATGTGTGCTAAGGGCTATCATAGCGGATGATGAAGTTCCAGGTAATTTAAGCTGCATCAATGATCGAAAAAAGCTTCACAATTCATAACTGGAGCAAAAAGAAAACGTTTCATAAAGAGACGTTTCATAAAGACACGCTGAGGCTAGGATCATTAAATGTGATCTTTTAATATGACAGAGATTTAAAAATCACAAGATAAAAGGTGAATGAAACAGATTAGTAAGCAAAAACAACTTAGTTATTTTAAAATCATCCATACTGAGAAAATTTTACAGATTAAATTTCCCCCTCCACCATTTCATTCTTATTGACCAGCATAACCTAATCACTTTGTGTGGTTTCAGAGCCCCCTGAATGAAACCAGCCTAACAAGAACAAAACCAAAGATAAGAAACCATTTTCCATTTGAGACGTCATTATGAACAGATATGAGTGCGTCCTGCAGATTCTGAACCTCACGTTCGATACTCATAATTCATAGTGAAAATGA